AAATAAATAAATAAATAAAATAAATAAATAAATAAAAAAACTTATCACGTGGATCTAAATGAAACTTTTCAGAGTAGTTGATCAGGGTCCGATAAAGAAATGATCCATTGCAGCTTTTGTTCGAGTAAACTAATTCCCCCATGGTTTGAGTCACACAAACAACGCGTCTGTCGTGTAGTTAATTTTAAAGTATTATGTTTTTATGAAATCAGAATAGTAGTATTTATTTATTTTTATTATTTTTGTTTTTCATGTCTTTACTTTATATATCTTTTTCATATTGGCAATAAGGACATAGTACAATTATAATTGCAGTTGTGGTAGTGCTACTTTTCACCCCAGTTGTTGAGGTACATCTAGGCATTTTCTTTTCATCTGTTGTAGTTTATTGCAGAAAAAGAAAAACAATATATACATGATTTACATGTACAGTAACTGTATTAATAAGAATTCTACATTAAGTTGAATACATTAATTCTGAGTACCCTTTGCAGTTTTGCATTACCGTACCGTAACCTTGCAGCATGCAGGATATGTCCTTGGTAAATTAGAGTTTGTGATTGGCAATCGGTAGCCTACAAATATGGTAGTGAATAGCCTTGTTCTGACGGTGTAAGCACAGGCTCTGTGTAAGTTACACCGGTGACATCGTAGTTATCAAACAAGCGCTTGTTATGAGGCTGACACCGACCGTATGAACGAAGAAAACAAGCACTTCATACCTTGGGGTTATGATTTCAAGAAACATAAATGATCATAGCCATATTGAACATGTTGAGCAAAAATGTAATCGCCTTATTGGATACATAAAATCTATTATAGGGAATTTAGGCCTATTTAATTATAACATAGTGTTTTACGGGGATATCCTATGGCGAACGAATGCCCTCCCATCAATAAATTATGGAAGCCCGGTATGGGTTGGAAGCAAAAGTGACACTGAAAAAAATTGAAAAGTTGCAAATTGAAAAGTTGCAACTACAAATGGCCAGATTCATTCTGAAGGCGCCATGTAGCACTCCCTGTGCCACACTGTATGGTGACCTTGGATGGTCAACAATTGAACTTATTCAAACTACCCATAGAATTAACTTTATTGATAGAATCTTGAAAATGGGAGATAATCGTTGGCTCAAAATGTTATTAAAACATATTGTAAGCTTTTCTGTCAATCTAAATACCATTGCTTTTAAAATCCCAGCTTGTATTGAAACAACCTTGAAAGAATTTAATACTGATAATATTTTTAGTGATGTTAATAATGGCAACAGTAGTAATAGGACTATTAACACAACATGGACTTCTGACACAAAAGCTATCATGGGAGATCTCTGAATTTGTCATTGGATTGAAGATGGAAAGAGTAAATCATATCAATAAAAAGTACATGGACATCATACAAATGTACCTAATTTAGAAAAACACCTCCTAGATAGTAGTTATTTTGAGGGGGTATCATTGAAATTTTAACTACGTTCGAATACCCTTCCTCTTGAGAATAGAATGATGAAATGGTCTAAAAACAATAGCAGCAGCGGTATCTGTGAATTATGTGATATAAATGAACTTTCTCTTAGTATGCCCTGTTTTGATTAAATTAGAAAAGGTGGAAATTGACAAATTTAGACAACAACTAATAACAATTTTGATAATATATGCCAAGAATTTCAGCAATACAATATTAGAAACAAGTTACTCTTTATCCTTGGCAGTGACAATTTGATGTTTTATGATGGCTTAATTAGTGTGTTAACAGACAACTTTTGTAAAACTTTAGCGAAAATAATGTGGAAGAAGCGAAGTAACATTTTAAATAGCTTAAGCTGACTGTGGTGTTGTGTATGGAAATTTTGTTTTTCTTGCATTCTTATTTATGTTCAAATAAAAATTTTCATTTCCCTTTGATTGTGAATTGGGTTGCCGCTTTGCATCTGGCCTGGGTTGCGCTCTATAGACATTAGAGAATGCGGGTTCTCACTTGAAGTGATTGGGTATCATTGTTGTAGTGGGAGCTCGCAGGAGCTTGTGTCTGTGGTGCGCCATACTGACTTACAATGCAGGGCGATAGCCTAATTTGGTTTTGTTTATACGCATATATGCATGTGTGTGTATGTATATACAGTATAATATACTGTATGTATATAGTGGGCAATGAGCTTTCCCGACTTTAAGTTCTTTAAAATTAAAGGTAATAATTTTTTCCCATTGTTGTTACAGTAAATAGGCCTTATGTGTGTATACAAACATAAAAAAAAGTTTGAGCAAGTTGCATACGCTGTCTCTTATACACATCTAGATGTGTATAAGAGACAAGGAAACTACTCGCAATCAAATGATCAGTATATAAAATAAATATATTCAAAAACAAAGACACTAAGTAAAATAAAATTATTATTATTATTATAATAATGATTATTATTATTATTATTATTATTATTATTATTTTTATCATCATCATCATTACCATCATCATTATCATTAATATCATCATAATCACAACTGTAATTATTATCATTATTATACACAGACTGCGCTGTAAGGAAAATCCATTCTCCGAACGCGCGGTTGATGATGTGACCTGTCTAGAACGTTGTTAAGAGATCTGCGGATTCACGCACCCCGCGTCGTCACGTTGCGTTCTCTATATGAAAACCGGTTGACGCAACCTTTGCCGGTATAATGATAGGAAGGAATATTAGTTTTAAGAAGACAAAGTAAGTTTACTGTTTTATTTATTAACAGGAGGAACTATATCTTGCTGGATGTATATTTTGAAGAGTTGAACTGGCAAGTCTTCAAACAAACTCCAACAATGACGTTCTCAGCTCTTCTTAGTAAGTAAATCGTCTTTAAATTGAGTACGTTTCATTTCACTTACTTCACAATAGGCAGCTTCTAAATCACTGTACATCTTTATCGATTTGGAAATGTTTATTTTCATCGCACATTATTTAACCCTAAATATTTCATCATTTGTTTATCTATGTTCGCATGAATTATCTCTCATGGTTAATTTATAAGAATATACATACAAGTTGTAAATCGATTTAAAACCCAATGTATTATGATTTGATGGAAAACTCACCCTCTTCATCATCATTGTTATTATCATTTATCATTTATTATTATTATTATTATTATTATTATTATTAATATTATTATTATTATTATTATTATTACAGTATTATATGATCATCATTATCAGCAGCAGCTTATAGGCCTAAGTCATAAAGTACCGTATTTTTCACACTATAACTATTTTTTAGGTGACATTGGAGGTCAATTGGGTCTGTTTATTGGTGGAAGTGACATCACTATCTTTGAAGTTGGTTAGTACTTTTCCATGAAGGGTCATTCTGTTTGTTGTAACACAAGCATGTCTACCAAAAAGTAAATAGTTCTGGTGGTGTGTCTGGTCCTGCATCCTCGACGACAAGGGTGCTTTCAGTTTCAGTTACGATGCCACATTGGAAATGATCTGACGATAGCACGTACGAATACCTGTCGACTTCTCTTCGGACAACCACCGCAAACACATTCAGCTAAAGAACCCTTTCGGAAAGTTAAAAAAAAAAAAAATTAAAAAGAGATATCGCCAAAAACGCCCATAAAGTTTATTTTTGGGCGTCTGGAAGACACAAAAATCACCTAGGGTAGTGTTGTCTCTCGATCGACCCCTCTTTCTTGGACATCGCACCATCCCCAACCCCATTGTCGGACATATTCTGTGGATCCGCCCCTGACGTTGACGAAGGAATTCAATAGAAATTAAAATGACATTTTTATTTTCTATTTGCGTCTACGACGGATTAAGCTGCATTCACATCGGATCCGAAAATTCAGACCGCGTTTCCGAAGCGCCCAACGCCAGGGTATCTTATGAGACTGATTCGATTTTCTGATCACTTCGTTGGGCTTCCGAATTCGGATTCGGTGTGAACACACCTTTAAACGGCAAATAACGGGTTGTTTATTGTAAAATGTATAAATGATGTACGTATTAAGAATATTAGAAAGACTAAAATATTTTAGTTCAATAAATATAATTGGTATATTAGGCCTATTATGTTACCTGTAGTATTAATGATGATACGGAAAACTCCAATTACGTTTCCTGTAAACTTATGATAATGTATTATCTTTATATATTACTTATGCAGGTGTTTCTCCAAACCAGGGTTAATGTGATTTTATCTTTTATTCGTGTATAGTACACATTTTGCTAAACAATGTATTATATAACACTGATGATACAAAAATACCAAAAAGTAATCGATAATAATCTATACCAAAATTACGCTATAATAGACAATGTAATATGAAATATATATGATGTACCGGTAACTAAATAGGTGAAGCAATTCCATAGAGTAGCAACGCAACGCGACGGGCGCAATGGATTGTTTTAGTGAAAATACAGTACTCCCAATCGGTAGACGGCATCAATAGAAAGCGAAGATTGATTCGTAGTAGCCTAGTATGACGAATTTACCCTCAAAGACTATCTTATTTTTGTTGGTTATGCACCACTCTGACTTGGGTTGTTGGCACCAATATGGCAGATTAAGGGCTTCAACAACTCATGTCGCAACTCTCTCTCTATATTCGAACTCTGGGCTCCCCGATTCTAGCAGCCACAGTATATAGGCCTATGTATTTTTATTTTAGCTTATAAGCCATGAAATGCTCGCACAGGACTGAGACATAGCGCAAACAACTTAACAGCCTGACAACAGTGCCAACTGGGAAATCTGTAAGTGCTCAGTTAGCCTCAAGAACACCCAGCGCCCCTCGTTATAAATACGTCATGATCCCCCACCTCGGCTCTATTCTTACGCTAATGACTAATGGGTTCAACCAAGGTTCAACAGGCCAAAACCCTGGCGCGCGCTCAGATGATCTTAAGGCCCTTTTTAACCCACAATCGCTATATTCTCAGCGATTTAAGGCGCATATAAATACTTCCATAATTATTATACGATAAAATGACCAAAGACCAATGAAAAAATAGCCACATATATTTTAATTCGTTGCCTTCAATAAACTTAATGAGTCTCTGATGTGTATAGAACTATAGCATATATGATTTATTTGAGTATCTTTCTGTACTGATCATACCATGCATACCTCATTTTAGGACTAAACGTACAGTGTATTTTATATAATCACTTATAAATGATATGACTGTATATTTTTCTTTTGTAACATTTCAGTTCTTCGGAACTATATTATTGTAGTATTATATTTTCAAACAAATAACAATATATACTATAAATAAATAGTTATGAAAAAGTTCGAACTTACAATTAATCAACAGAAAATTTAACAGCTCTGTATATATTAACATATACATGGGAAGATCTGGGTTCATATCTAGGAGGGGTCAGAATGTTTTAAAAAAACTTTGAAAAGAAAGGAGGGGCGGGGTCTTCCCTCCCCACTGGAAAAGGGTCGGGTAAGTTTCTCTGATTCTTAGTACAGTAGATAGGCCTAATATGTGTACCGGTATACATATACAGAAGAAAAATAATTGAGTAGTTGCATATGTATATCTTTTTTCAATCGTTGAACCCCATAAAGAAATGAGGTCGGAGAAATTTTTATTCCCATATGCTAGTAAATGAGCTTTTACCGACTTCTGAGGTGTCTTTTAGTACTTCAAATTTCAAGGTTTTGCCTCTTGAAAATGGTCAGGCAAACTTCTCATATTTACTACATTTAATATGCCTATGTGTGTATACAAAAACAAAATGAGTAGTTGCATACGTATTCTTTTTTTCCATGGATGGATGAACCCAAGAAAACGGGTGATTTTCAGATTTTCAGGTTTTCCCTCTCTTGAAAACAATTCAATGAATCCAGACTTCTAATTTTCCCATTGTAACAACAAAAAATTCAGCTCATGTGTCTAGAATCTTTTATTTATTTTTTGCCCAAGGGGGGGTGGGGGTCAGGTCAATAAATGTATTTTTCTTTGATTGTCTCTGCAAATGTTGGGAAGTGCAAATGCTCACCAACTAAGGTCAAGTGGGACAGAGCCCGGTTGGATTGCAGCATCGATTTTTCATTAATACAGCAGCTTTAATGCACCAAACTTTATTTATTAAGTTTATTATTAACTATGAATTTTCTTTATTTCCACACCGTGTGCATCATTTTGTGGGGAGACACCACTGTTGTTACTTTTCTTATTCCTTCTCTGTCCACTTTTTCCATCCATGCACCTCCGCATTTTCATGGTCAGGTATTCGGTTATCTCAACAACTGTAATGAAACTCACCCCAACAAACAGTCCCAACTGTCCACCAATGTCACCTAATAGAAATTAGCAAATTAGATAATTATAAAAGTACTGGTATATAATAATCAATATATAAAGATAAAGATATATAAAATATTACAAATGTGTCTCAATTATACTGTACTGCAGCGGCGGACTATAGGGAAAATTAGCAGGGTACGTATGCTATGGCCTGGTAGTGAGAAAAGCTTGTTAGCCTACAATTAAAGATTGTGTTCTATAGCCAAAATAATAATGTGTGTATTTTTATTTTTCATACCGACATGGTTCTAGTTTTGTGCATTTAAGAAATTAAATTTAAATAATACAAGTTTCTTTTATACCAGTCGTATGTATGCAAATTCATTTAAACTTTAATCATTGAAATGTCTAGCGATACAAATTATCCGATTTCCAGTGTAGAGTAATCTACTGTAGAGAGAATCGGTGAGAATAGGAGCATGCGCACATACTTTTGGAAGGAGCGCTTCAATTGCTGTGTTGAATTTCCTACTCTAACACCAACACGTGGTTGGCACAATAGCAAATTTAACCATTATAGGGTACCGGTATGCTTCCACTTCCATTGACTTACTCAAGTCACTGAATTTGGCCAACAACTCTTTCAGATTTTTGGAGAGAACATAATGCACAATGTTCAAACATGTGCAGTTAAATTAATAAGATGTAATTACGTTCTACGTCGTTGCAAATCAAAGTCTCCCTAATCTCAGCTCTCTGAGAAGAAAAATTAGATAAGCATCTAGAATCTGCGCTCGGTATTAGATTTTACCAGGTACACCACCCTCACAAAAGTTTACTTAGATAGTCATCCACCACCCAACCCCACAACAACTGGAAATTTTCAAAGCAAAAAAAAAATTATGTTCATGTAGCAAAATATTACCTCATACCACCACCACTTAATCATCGACCCCTCACTTTAATTCACCTTTGGACTCCATCATTTGAATATTCATAGATACAAACACAGTTAAGCATACCCTTTCCGTGCTTCTTTTTTTCAAATTTGTAAATGCACAATTTATAACCACAATTAAAAGGCGCATTATAAATGCCCATACCAATACCAGATACTTACTCAGTAAGGCTGAGAAGGTCATAGCTTTTGTTTGTTTAAAAACTTGTTTCGTTATTTCAGTATAATACACGTCCAACATAACAATATTATCCCTATTATGAAAGTATAAAGAGAAAAAGAATTTACTCGTAATCAGACTTATAAATTGCACAAAAAACATGACCTTGAGGAAAAGCCCGAAATGTAAAACTTATTTCCATTGGGGTCCTTGTTTTGTAACACCTAAATTAGATTCTTGTTATTTGATATTATATTTTACAAACCTACCTTTTTTTGAAGAGATTCTTGACATTTGATATTTAATGCAAAAAATCTACCCTTTTTCTAAATGCTGTAAAGCGTCTTTTTAACAAATCAAAAGATTGTGTTAGGTTTAAGTTATATTGTATCCTAGGCGACAAACAATGGTTAAAAACGGATGGAAAGAAAATGCACGGATAGAATTAAAATTCACGGTAGAACTGAATGTCGTTGATGAGTGAGAGAATTGAGTAAATATGCAATATCAGGTGATAGGAAATCAACAAATCAATTGACAAGATTCTATAATAGATGTGTTATAAAACAGCATAATTACTACATTTATTCTTTTACTTCATCCTCGCTTGCCTTTAGGTGATGATGGCACTTTCTTTGTCTATTGTCCTCTGCAAATCTTCGGGTACAATGAAGTTTTTGATGAAGCGTAGTTGGTAATGGCCAAGTTTGGTTTCGTTCTGTTACATAATTTTTGCAGTTCTGAAGAATATGCTCAGCAGTCATTGGTCTATCGCCACAGGGACACAAATAGAAGTGTCAAATACAAAACTTTTTGGTGTATGTGGTGATGGAGACGATTGTGCCTGTTCTCAGTCAGAAAATTGTTGCTTCTTTAGTCTTTTGGATAGATAGTGGTAGCTGTCATTTGGGTTGTGACCGGTATGCTGGTTATTCCATTTATACTTCTGACAAGATTTGATGATTGCCTTTGCATCTTTATAAAATACTTTGTTAGTGAACTGTCTTTTTTGTGCTCACATTTTAGCCAAAGCATCTGTTTTTTTTTCATTTTCTGTAATGCCTCAGTGTGCCGGTATCAATTGTATTACAACTCGGTTTATTACTGCATTTAGGTTGGTGAGAACTGTTGACAGAGGATTTAGTTTCTTGTTTTTTTGTTTTTGTTTTTTTTTGCATTATTTAGAGCTTCTAAAACGGAAAGTGCATCAGAAAAAAGCACCACTTGTTCAGTCGTTCTCATCGAATTGTTGAGTAGTTGCTTCACAGAGGGCTTCTATCTCCGCTCTAAAGTTAGTGGAGCGTTTACCCGTTGGGAAACTAAGTTTTTCTTCTCCATCTGAATAACAGATAAACCCCCAGTTCCACTATTCTTTGTTGCGTCGGTGGCAGATCCATCTGTGTATATTTGTGTCCATTCTTCTGTGGGGTATTATTCATAGATGATATCCATGGTCAAGTTTTTTCATTCGTTATCCAACTGTGTTTTCCTCTTTTCAATTCCTGGGATGTTGGTAATGATTGAAGGAAAGTGTTGCCGATTCCAGGGTGGATCAGTTGCAAGAGTCGGGGTAGGCACTATTCCATGTTCTTTTATGTCGGGAATTGTTCTTTCAAGCAACCTTGATTGATGAATGAATCTTCCTCTTCAACCGACTTTTGTTTGGTTTGTTGACTCTGTAAGTTCATGGTGTGCTTTTCTAGTCATTTGATTTTTTTTTTCAGTTTGGGTAATAATTGTTGTGTCTTTCCAGCTTTTGAGAGAATCCAGGTTAGTGATCTCTTCCATTTTCTATATTGGAGTGGATTTCATGGCACCGGTAATAATGCGTTGGGCTTGGTTTTGTATCCTATTGATTTTATCAAGGTTTGATTTTACGGCGGAGCTCCATGCAGATATCCCATGTTCTGCAACTGGTCTTACTCTTCTTAGATCTTCTTTAAAATGTGGTGATCAGAATCCATAAAGACAGACAATCACCACAAAACACTACATCATTTTTGTACGATAACCAAACACATTATATAAATCATCACTGCCACTATCAGCATTATAAAAATAATTACTGTTATAACTTTTATAACTATAATTATCATCATTATTATGATCCATATCACTTTATAACTATCATCACCTCATCATCATTAGCACCATAATAATCATAAGTATTACCATGTTTATATTCATTATAATCATTATCATCACCACCATTATTAATATTATAAATCATCACCACCTTCATCTTCAATATCATGCTCAATATTACAATAATAATCTTCATCACCATCAACCATAAATAATTCATCACTATCCTCCTCCAACACCATTACATCATAATCACTATAATCCGCACCACCATATTATTATCACCATAAAATATATTACAATTTCCAATCATCGTTTTCGTCATTGCCACCTTCATTATCATTACTACTACACCATCAAATCTAGAATGTGTATATTACGCTATTATGGCCTAAGGGCACTTTGATGTACTATTAGCCAGGAGGTAAAATAACTGGACACTTTAATTCCACATTTGAATTGCCCGATTTGCATATTTAATTGAGTTGAATTAAAATTAAAAACAAATGAGTCAAAAAATTCCCCATTTATTTTTGGAGGGTTTTTGGGGGTATTTTACTGTCCCTTTGACTGATAGTGCATCTTTAACAAACTTTCATTAAGACATACTTTACGAACTCTGCTGATTTGTTGTAGACTTCTTGAGTATCATTACTAATACTGTAACTTGGGATGTTAGCGTATGATAACTTGGTGTCGTAGGAAATGTCTTTGCAGTCGAGATAGCATTCACACAGAACCTTATTGTTATTTATTGCATCTGAAATACACAAAAGACCTTTATTGGTATTAAAGTTACAGGTCGAATTTGAAGCTCTGGACTGACAGGCTGGAGTGCCTGTCTCTCTTTTCTTTGCGCTTGGACCAGACTGTGCAAGACTGTGGGGGGTGGGGTTCAATGCTCCTCCCTCACATGGCATGTTTTAATCACACCGAAAGACAAAAAAAACCCCTCATCGCATAATCAATATCAATATACTCAACACTTTTATTATTATAAAACAAAACAAGCTATTATATAGGCCTATAAAGTAATTTACAAAGAATTATGTACTGTGATTCTTTATAAAACATTTAAGAAGTGTTGTCTTGTTTTAACTTAAATAATGAATATTCCAGTAGGCCTATATAAACAAATAGAGCTACCTGTTACAAAATAAAGTAGGAGCTTAACCTCTTCTTGACTCTCACCTTGTACACTGAAAATAATAGTACTATTTTTACTACATGGCTAAAAAAGCACAAGTATTGTCACTACTACAACTGACAGGGCCATCGTTAAATTAAGTCAGAGCCCAAAATATAGCATCATATTGAATACGTCATCTGACATCATGTGAACCTAAACTTTAATTACAATTATTTGTTTACTAGGCCTAATTCGAAATTATTATTTTAAGACTTTAATCTAATACATACTGATTAATAATAGCTGATATTTGATGCACATTTCAGAATTAATAATCGTTTTTTATCTTACTGAATATTTATTGTCTACCAAATGAAATATGAATTATATTTGAATCTTTAGAAATACAATTTCTACAATATTAATCTTGTTTTTATATAGATAAATGTTCGATAATTACTATCTTTCATAAAACAAACGAAATTCAGCGCGGATTTTCATTCCAATCAATGGCGTTTGTAAACATGTGCACTGACGTTATCGTCGAATCCCAGGACTTTCGACGGCAATGCCTGCCTGAATAAGGTCCCAGGCCAACCAATAATAATTAACAAAATGTATTTTTTTAAATATAGGCCTATGGAGCATCCTAGTACATGCACTTCAACTTTTACAACAAAAGCCTAGGCCTAGTAGTACGTCCTTCTGTACTTAAGCCTAGGCCTACACTAGTTTGATGTCGTCGGGGTACAATTCTGTCTCTAAATGCAGCGTGACCACTAGTGAAAATCAAAATTCCCAAGAGTGGGTCTAAAAATTCCCAAGATTGCTTTTAAAAACCCAAGATTCTCAAAATATTCTTCATTTAAAAGTCCTTCATTTTAAAGCTTTTTCAATGAATTATAAACTGTACAGTATTTTGTACTGTATAGGCCTTAACGAAGTGTCTGGGTTTTCGAGACCAGAAACTCGTTCGCTTTGGGCCATAGGCCTACTATAAGGCCTACACTGTGCGTCCGTGGAAAATCCTTTTTGGTGACTAAAACGTGATATCCGTTCCTCTGGCATTGTATTTTAGGACAAGAATTTGAAGTTTGTGCGCAATTTTACCCATTCGATATTAACAAAGTCAGTACTTCACACACATTAGGCCTATGGCCTACAATATTATATAAAAAGGAATAATCGATCTTTACAGAGTGTCGAATTGATCTGTCAATTTTATACCAGGGGAAAACAGTATTGCATAAGATTATTTAACAATAAGAAAAATTGGGAAAACAGTTTCCTTTGAAATTTACTTAAGCGAGTGTGTATGAAACCGGGTCTATGGCAACTAAAATTTGATACTACGTCTAGAAGTGTAGAGAGATACGGACCCTAATACTAAAAACTGTTGAATTCTAAATGATTACAAGATGACCAAGCATATAAATGAATCGGTCTAAAATGATATTCAAAGATATTATACAGCTATAGACCGCTAATGTTTGTTTTGCATGTCTAGCACACACCATCACTCACAAATTAATGTATGTAAAAATTGGTCGTAAAATTTGATAACAAGTTGACCATTAAAATCTATTGTATATATTTATTTGAATCCGTACACCGATTTTGTTTCAAGTTGTTTGTTTTCAATATTATAGCTGTTTCATTAGGCCCTACGATGACAAGGTTTTGAAATCGTACTGTATAACACTCCAAATTTTTTTTTTATGGGCAAACAACAGAAGGCTCTGTATTTTTAACAAGTTGACCAAGCGTGTTGCTGCATCATTATTGTTCAGTTACGATCACTATTCAGAGAGCAGCAGGCTGATAATTTGTTTTTCCCAGAGCTACTTAGATGTCGTTGTTGGTATCATTTTTTTTTTTAATTGTGAGTGTAAATATTCTTTAGTGTATTAACTGTAGATAAGAATTGTAGATAAATAATGCACATAAAATCTATTGTCGATGGAGAACGGCGTCAGTCATCTGATTAGTCCCATATTAATAGTACCGATATTTTGAATACTTCTCTTCCGCGAATTGTTTTATTGACAGTGACTTATCTAATTCTTATATAATCACTTTCAACATTTTAATCGAAATAGTTCACCATATCGTAAAATGTTGAGTACTGTACCCACCCAATTTGTTGGCGATCCTCAGTGTATGTTATGTTAATAAAACATGTCATACTGTACAACAAGGGAATGTGTATTACAATATGCCAGTACGTATTTTTTAGATTTTGACGCACTCCGTTCTGTTGTGTGTGTCTGCTGTTGAAAACAAACTTCCTCATTTTGTGACTCGCTATGATGACTGAGATGGACCATGTTGATTTGTTAATAATATTTGTTTGGGATGGAAAAAAGGAGTCAATTTCCCAAAAATGCTCCATCAGCACATTGTTTAGTGTGGTCTATGGACAATATGGCTATGGAATTTACTAACCACACAATCCAGAATCAAAAAGTCGCAAAACTTTAGCTGCATTTGGTGGATTAAGTCGCAAAACTTTACATTCGTTTGGTGGCGCCATTTACTCTAGGTAGACGGAGACCGGTTTTGTTACTGGTTGATACACAGTGAAAGCTTTTATCGATGTTTGCCATCCTTATGTGAGCTATCGTAAAGTCATATTTTGCCGGAGTTGCGTTCAATTTAAATCTCCGAACTTCTGAAGCTGAGATATTCTATGAATGTAGGCTTGTATCGCTTGCTACAATTTAAAAACGGGTGACCAAATAATGAATTAGGTGCTAAATTTTAATTTAATGCTGGGTAAGTTAAAAACAGACATTCCGTCCGAGTGGAACTCATTTAAAAATTCGAAGGGGTTCGCTAGAAAAGGGGGGTTCGCCCGAACCATAAAAACCCCCCCTGGCTACGGGCCTGCGGGTGGTGAGAGACAAACATATATAGAAGTGTCTTGCCTAAGGAAAAATGTGACTTGCACAGCAAGGTTTAAAATACCCGACACAAGGTTGAAAGTTCCAGAACCATTACGCCAACCGCTTCTATAAAGTTTAATTTATTAATTAAATGTATCTCTTTTAATTTGTCTTTTTTCTAATAGTTAAATAATTTAAATGTTATGCTTTGTACTTTAAATAATTTGCAATAAAATATTTTGTATTTACTGTATATTTGTATTCTACAAAAAATATTGAGAAAGCATGATAGTTGATATGAGAGAGGCTGCAATGGGGCTTTTCTGGAATCCTCTTTTTTTCTTCATCATATAATTTACATGCCAGGAAAGAATGTTTCATCTTCTAGGGGCTTCATCCCTACCCAGATCAGAGCTCGTACCAGAGCCTCATCATGGTGCTAGGTACCCCAGTTCTCCCCGACCTCTGGTTTCATAGGCAACTTCCCATTTCCTTATAAGGAGTCCTGGTTATAACTGCAATCCTAACTGTTGTTTCGTGAGACCATAGCTAAGTGATTGTATTGTTATTAGACCTACACCTGAGTATGTAGGTGTAGCATGTGTAAATCATTAATCCCTCATTTTTCATTATCATATGGGAGGAAGCTTTTTTTGTGAGGTGGGGGGGGGGGCGATTGAGCAGAGGCATGTTTAGCCTACCACACACTGGAATGTATACGGTCTCAGCTTCAAAGTACAAACCATAAGGTTTTTTTCAACTTCTACTGATCACCCGCCTCCCCGAATTACAAGGAATTTGATGCGCAAAGGGCGCTCAATACGTGACTCACATGTGCTCAAATAATAGGAGTAACTTAATAAAGATAGAAAGCAAGGGGAAAAGGAAAACTAATAATCTCTAAAATATTAAACGGTAGTTTATTATAAGGCGAGCAATTGCAAATGACCTCACGCCCTATGAACCAATGCCAACAAATTATTTGTTCATATTGATACTAAAGTAATTATAATGGATATCAGATTATAGTAATGGCATTTTAAGCACTTAAACTATACACAAACATCACTTGAATTTCAAATTTCAAGGTTTGAATAATAATACGTTTATTTTTTAGGATGATGAGTTTGGGGATTAAAGTATCAAATTAGAACATGCCAGGAAATACAATAAATCAGAAAATGTTTACACTAATCCCATATTATTATGCATAGTGTATTCATTGACCTTGTACAAAAAAGGTATAGCAAAATGATTTATCTAAAGCTAAGAATCATTGTAATATATATGCTAAAGAGGGTATTATAAGCTCTGAATATAATTTTGGTGGAGTACTAATTTCATCTTTACGTTAAAATCAAGTATTTTTAGATCCGATGAATGGGATTGAAAATAGGTATCATGGGCATTAGTCTGGGGGATGAGGTGTGTGAATTAGTTTCATAAAGCGGGTTAAAAAATGGAAATGACCCTTTTCAATGGATAGGAATTTAGTTCAAATTTGAAGCTCTAACTTGAAAGTTTGCAGCATGTCACCCAAACGGGAAGGTCAATTTTCCCGACAATAATGTAAGTGGGCGTAGCCAGGGCAGCCAAGAACCACTCCAAGCAAAGGGCTCTAAGGGGCGTAGTGGCTTATTTAATCGATTTTAGTGTCTCACATTCTGCAGAAATTACAAATAATTTTCTTTCAGAAGTAAATCGCCACCACAGCTTAACTTTGTAGACCTTTTGGAAACTTACCCAACTCTTTAGCAATGCAAGACGTTTCCGTTGGTTCACAAATACGTGCTGGACCTTCATACCTATTAAAAATGTGTGGCTGTGTTAGTCTTAAAAAAAAAAACAGGAATCAGGCCCGTAGTCAGGGATCTCTTTTCATGATTTGGGAAACCACTCTTTTTCAGTAAACCCCCTCTGGATATTAAACCCTCTTCTCCACATACACTCAGGGAAGGGATCAATTTCTGATGTACTAGCAGGAGTTCAAAATAGAGGGGGTCAAGACTCATTATGGTTTCTGTAAGAAAATTTGTTACTATAGCACCTAGATGGCCGGATATGGCACTCTCAGTTTTGAAGATATTTTTTCTTTTTTCTCCATTTAAAAAAATAATTTTAAAATGTTTAGGGAGAGAGGCCAAATGGTCCTTCCCTTGAATCTACCACTTTAAAGCAATTAGTATTGTCGTATTTCCCAGATGGAATTTATCTGCATTAATATACAATAAGGGAAAACTGCCCAGAGGGGCACTACCGGTATTTCTATTATTAAAGTTCATTAACATCATTGTTATTAAATACTGTATTTATTCGAATAAAGGCCCCTTGACATCTATTGTTGAGAAGGGTTTTTGAGGTGTGGTTATTCAAATAAATACAGTACTGTATATTATACTTTCACTCGTACCTTTCAGGCTTACAGCCACATCGTTCAACGAAATGTTCAAATCGACATTCCATTACACAGCTTTCATAAGAGTATGTTTTGTAGTATTCTAACTGCTGACCTCTCTTACATTGACCCCAAGGCTCTTCCAGGTTATCATACTAGATCAATAGCATAAAAATGCAATAATTATAATTTTATAATATAATAATAAAAATAGCAAAATAATACTGCGGTAATAATATAATAAGGATTTAAATAGTAATATGGTAGTAAACAGCAGCAGCAGCAACACCAACATGACGGGTCATTTATTGAAATTATTGACATAATATTTATGGTAAATTTATTCAGGAAAATAATGTTGGTATCATAGTGGAAATATCAATGTGACGCTGGCAAATTTGGCTTCTTGGTTTGTTCCTGATTGCTTAGATCAACCACAAGTTTCATCCTTTTTCCTTGTCGCAATACTCTAGATATCTAAGTCTTTTTTAAGTTGATGATCAAGCCATAAACCTTGGCAACATCCATTAGTTTGTTCATGATCCTTTGTAAACCTGTATTAGTATTTCATAACATAGCTTGATCGTCTACATATCCAACAGCTGGCACACATTTTTCTGCCACCATAACTAAATCAGAAGTTACATCCTCTACTTCCCTCATCACATATTCCACATACAGGTTAAAAAGTATGGGGACAAGATTCCACCTTGTCTAACACCTTTCCTTATATCGGTTGGTTGCGTTAAAAGTACTTCTACTTGGATTAATGAAAAATTTGAAAAGTTTCAGATTACTCTTTTATCTCTCCAGACAATTTCCACCAATAAAAAATTTCAATAAGTTTAATCCATTTTACTCTATTGAATGCCTTTTCATAATCTGTCTAACAAATGTAGACATCCTTACCATACTTACAGTGACCTTTCACATGACTCTGACTACTGCAATGGCATCTCTTGTGCTTCGCCCTTTCATAAATCCAAATTGGTCACCACTTATTAATCCTCTTGTCTTATTTTTTATTTTAGTACTTTCAAAGTTATTGTAGTTTACAAAGTAATGTACACCGATAGTACTTCGTAGGAAAAAATTCAATCCATGTGCTACATGGGGTGCATTTCCTTACATTGTCATATATTTGGGAAGTTTTGCCAATGCATTAAGAGTGGAATGTGACTAGGTAGGGGTACTTTGTACACCTTCTCCACCAGATATCATGTAAGATTTAGGTACTTATTTCTGATAAAATTTGGTCAATGTCCGTCAATCAATGTCTTTGACGGCCTAACCCCCTAGGGGGGGGGGGGTAAAACCTTCTAGGCAAAATTGGGTGAAATTTATGTTGCTTGCTCTCAGACTATTTGTTTAAACATCTCTTGTGTTACCCATGGCTTTTTTAACACATTCTTCCTGGCATATCCATTTTCACCACTCTCAATTATCAATTTTTTATTGTTTTCCGCAATCATTATTCATTTTAAAGATGCTATTACTTTTTTATTTTTTAGTTTTATCTCTCACCCTGACCTTGGCCATGGCGAAAGATGCGAAGGTCTGGATCTGCGCCTTATACATGGCAGTAATATATCTCAATGCTCATATACAGCAAAAATCACAAAACTTAGATCCCTTCCATCAAGATACTGTAGATCCATCTGCGGATGAGATAATAATTGTGCTCTACCTCATTTAAATATACATCAGCAAAGGCATGTTGACCGGTACCAATAGCAGACCCTCTTGTGGAAACTAGAGGGGGTGTGTCTTGTGGGTGTATTAGAAACTTTAATCCAGCTTCCAGGTTAGCACCAAGTCCAATGGTCTCTGTATATTCATCCTGAAATCATAATAAACATATATGTAAGGTAGTTAGATTATAATATATGCTTTATACCAAAATCACATCACAAAGCATAGACTAGATCTTACAGTTACACTTCTTTCTCTACAAGTGTCATGTGTCTGAGTTACCAGGTAAACTGGTGGCAGCTACAGTCTGTCCACAATAGGGGTCGTGTACAGTGGCAGATCCAGAATTTAAAATATAGGGGCACAGTGGACTTTCACAGATGGAGGGTCTACAGTAGACTACCTCAGCTACACTATGGTTTGCAAGAAATTTTATGATTGTGGCACCTCTAGACGGTTGGAATTGGCACTCTCAGACTTAAAATATGAACATTATTTTCTGTTTTTGTTTTTGTTTTTTGTTCTTGTTTTTTGTTTTTTGGTTTTTTTTTCATAGCTAATGCTGAAAAATTTAGGGTTAGGGGTTTATATGAAAAAAAATTGTGGGACACTCCATCTGTAAAATCCCCCTTATGGCCTCCTTCAATTCCTGCATCCGCTACCGAGTAAATTGATGTGGCCCGCATTGTCAGTTTGTCCAGAAAAACAGTTTTAATCAAGTCATTCAATTTTATTAAGTAAATTAATATAGATATGCGGGTCTTTATTATTCGATTAATGCCTTTCAAAGTCATACCTCAGAAGGTCAGCATTTGAAATGTGCACCTTAAAGTATTAGATATGATCAAACAATTCTTTTATATAAATAGGCATATGTAACATGTTAATTTATTTAAAATAATCTCTAATAAATTGTAAACATTACAACAAAATAGCCGTCAGAAGCATTTTGTAAGTGGCTCTGCCATTATAGTCAGAGCGGCAGGTGGGGGGACTTAACAAATTTGGTGGTAAAATTGCGTGGAGTCTGAGAGCATCCACTCCAGGCCACCATGCTTGCTGAACAACTTTTTTACAACTCTGAATTCCCGGAAATAAATTCTGACAAATTGTAGGGTTGCTAGCCCCTCCCCTGGAGGGAAGGCATAAGAAAAAAAACGTTAGCATGAAGATAGAGTCTATGTTGGAAATATGGTACCTTTGGATGCCTGGAAATTGAAGCTGCCAAACCTGTATATAGCCACAGCCCTCCCCAAGTCTATTGGCAGACAAAGATTTAAAGTTAGTGGAAACTAGAGTTTATACGCACCTCAGGTCCACTATGTTTAGGGCTGAGGTAAGCAAATTTTGAAAAATGGCACCAAAATATAGCTACTTTATTTTCATAAAAATATGTAATAAAATATATATTGTATATCGTACATACATCTATATCAAGGTGATAAAGAGATACCTAATATAGAGCACTAACATTCAAGGGACATCAAGCATTTTTTGTGAAAGAGTTTAGGGGTACAATGTTGTTGAATGTGGCTAGTTTATCAGGGTCCTGTGGCCATTCCACTAAAACTGGATGCCAAGAAAAATATGAAATAAAATGAAATGATGATGATGATGATGATGAGGGGATGATGATACAGATGACGATGATGATGGCGATGATGCTGATAATGAAGATGACAATAATCATGACGATGATGATGATGTCGATGGCGATGACGTCAACGATGATGATGGTAATGATTTTGAGTGAGACAGTAATACAGACTAAAGCGAAGTGAGTCCTAGCTGGAATCAAGGTCAGGGTGCATGCGGATAAAAGCCGCGAGAAAAATTAGCGGTTTTGATTTGGTGTAGACCAATTTGGGTTGCTATATTTAGTCTTATAACAGTAACACTTCCAGAATGTAAAGCCATCCACCGATTAAAGTACATGGACTAAAAAGCTGGACAAAAATTGGATTGTTCTAGTTGTAGCGTATAGGCATGTTTGGAATTGATTTAATCTAGTTATCGTTGCTTTGCATCACGTTGGAATTGTTGATTTGTTGGGTGTCCACCCGTTACAACTCTGGACATTCCATGGAACACCCCTCGTCGGACGCTACGACCACGTCATAACAAATTATGAAAATATGGCATTTGCGAAACTTCTAAATAGCACCTGGCATCCAAAAAATTGTAAGTAATCAGGCCTTGTGTGGTGACTCTAACCCCGAAAATGTTATAAATAGTTAATTGTAATTTCATATTTGTACTTCTAAACATTTTCAAAATTGACATTTTTTTGTGTGTGTGTATAAGTTTTTTTAGGTTTCCTATTTGATATATTTTAATTGTAAAATTTCTACCTTTGTTGTTATTCGTTCTTTGATTAAAAGATGACCACGATAAGTCAAATTCTTGTTTTGAAGTACATTATTTTCTGCAATCAGGGCATAGCTCGCTGTAAAGTACCTGTTTTGGGATACGATCATCAGGCATACGGACACAGTGGCCTCTCCAACAAAGTTGATGATGCTGGATGAATGGCAAACTTTTATGTATTTTTAATCTTTAGAAATATATTTTTTATATCATATTGTATTTTTATGGTGACCCTGATTTTGGTTGTTTTGATACACTGTTGGGTCTTTAATAAATACAATTATTATAAAAAAAAATTAAAAATAGAAAAAAAAAAGTAATAGAATTGAGAGATAGTGGTCCGGCTAAAGCCGGTGCGGTACCCTGTTATCTCAAACTAGGGTAGAACGTTTGTGGGGTTCCGGGTGTGAGGCCCTAAGGCCACAAATATTGAATTATAAAATTAAATTAGCTGATGAAGGCATTTTTGGGTATACAGAACGACTAGGAAATAGGTGTGTTGTCTATGATTATTAGACCAACAGAATTAAGTATACTACGAAGAGATTTCCTGTATTCTTTCCTCTGTCTCTTATGTGAACTCAGCTGGAAACTATCTACTACAGTACAGCTCTGTCTAGACTATCATATTTTCTTTGACAAAACACAGTTTATGCCCATATCTAGTCATGATGTGCCTATACATGGTCATGATGTAATGTTATCATGACAATATTTAGGCATTTCATATGATTTGTTAAATAAAATTTGACAATCTGGACAGGACATAAAATACCATTTCCATGTCTTGTTTGAACAGTATGGCGAATACATCAAGAATACATCAATTTATTGATTGACTGAACAGGCCTTTTTCAATTAGCGTATTTTAGTAGTGGATTCAATAGGAGTGTGGAGTCTCAACCATGGTGGACCTGATGTGGTCTAGTGGTCTATACCCTCCATCTGTGATAATTAATTCACATAATTTACAATACTCAAGTATACAACATCTTTCTTACTTGACTGAGCAAGTTATTTTTTAACTTTGTATGTAGGATTATAGTATTGAAAATAATAAATGATTTAAAATGTTGAATAAAAATGTCAGTGATTGAAATTTAGGGCATCCCACAGTATGTGAACAAGAAATTCTCTTAGTCATCGCATTGAATGATTTCACCTACTGAATGGAGTAAACAGAGGTACTGTTAGCATACAGCTGGTAAATTTGTGAGAACAATGCATAGACAGAAGCACAGAGTAAATAGGCTTTTTTTATGCAAAATGAGTCTTGGCTATATGTAAACACCGTCCTATTAATGGGACACCTTCAAGACCAACAAAAAAAAATGTCCCCTTAATTGGTTTCCCTGAATAGGGGTTGGCTGCAGTGTGTGTGAGATACTACTTTCCCTCATTTCGTGGCCGAAAAAGTGTCTCCTTAATAAGATATTCCTGTTAATATGGGTGTCCTAAAGGAGTAGTGCTACTCTATTGATGTAGGGCTGCAGATACAGTGTAGGCTTGTCATTTGTGGGTACGTAGGGGGGGGGGCGGTTGCCAGAACCCCTGATGTGGTCATAGCAAAAGCCGGTTTGATTGCGGCAGGAATGTACGACATTTTAGGAGTTCTGACGGTTTACTGGTTAAAATGTAAAGATTTAAGAATTCCTCTCTCTAGTTTATTTACAGGAAAACAAATTTTATACACAGAACTTTCGACTGCCTTAGAAATATGGAGCTTTTTCAATCAAAAATACCAAAAACAGCTAATTTAGAGATTGTTCAGTACCTATAATTGAGTATTTCTGTGTCAATTTTTTTTCTTTTGTGTGCCGACTCTATCAACAATATCGGCGTAAAATAACTTTCAGAGTGTTTCTGACACCTTGAAAAATCAGAATTATACATGAAAAAATGTCAAAATTTCTGAAGTGGGGGCACACTTCACCAGGGCATGACCAGTCTCCCAGATGTTGACTTGTACACGTTGGAACGTTTACGTGTCTGTGTATGTCTTGTGAGCTTAGCAACAATATCCAAGGGACGGAGCTTAGTGAAAAGTTAAAAATCTAAAGGTAGAGAGTGTCAATCAAACTTTTGTGGACCTTAGCAACAATAAATAAGGGGTGGAGCTTAATGGAAAGGTCCGTTGCTCACTTACCTGGGCCACATTTATCATCAATTGGAGTCCATTATTAGGTCCTGGTTGAAATTGCTTCAAGCTGCTGCCGCTCGCTCCATTGAAGGTCCAACAGCGACCATAGTCGGTAATAACACTAGTAAAATTCTATAAAATATTGATTGACAGGTAATAATTGACATCCAGAGTATGCTAACTGGGTGATATGTCTGTAAAACAAATCGTATGGCTTAATCTCATTGGCACAACTCAGTCAGCTAAAACACACTAACTGTTGGTAGCCACTGTGTGTGTACTAAACCGTCGAGATCTCTTGGTCCCCGGTACAATTCCCATAGCTGCTCTCCTTGTGGCAGTCGGAAGGCTGAAAATCAATTGTTTCAAAAGTGCACCGTTTTTTTTTCCGGATGAGACATTTAAGCTGTTGGTCCAATGTGCAAAATGGCCCATGTGCACGTTAAAGACAGCAGTACCCTCTTAGGGGATTGCCTCCAGTGTACTGCCCTATTCTCCACGATAAGTATCAGTGCCAGCACTACGGGTTGGGGCAGGGGGATAGAAGAATACATCCCCCTCCCTCCCCCCGTCGGGGAGAAAAACCACTCTAAAATCGATAAAATAAGCCTTTAAAACCCTTGAATTGTCATATTTTTAGAGGGCTGGGTCCCCTGGACCACTTTAGAAAGGTTTTTAGCGAAGCTCGACCAGGCCCAATTTTTTCTCGTCGGGGACATCAGCCCCCACTCCCGGTTGAGGATATTGTGGGTTATCCTTCATGTGCATCACAGTACACCAAAGAAATCCAATCCAACTGATGTTGAAACTATAAAGTAAAAAAAATCATTTAAAAAATATGATAATAAATATTGTAACAACCTATTAATCATTAAAAAAAATAATCATATCTAACCAACCTTTGCATCACAAGTTTTACCCCGGAATTTACACGACCACAGCGTTTTAGCATCAAGATCAAATCCGGCTTTTTCCGTAAATTCTGATACATTGAAGGATGTTTTGCTAAGCAACGCTTCACACTCCTCTATG